AGATTACGAGGTCGACTGGGGAGGAGCGGGTAGGGTGCGTGGGGTCGTAGGTGTCGGGGTCGAGGGCTTTGAGCATGAGGGGGATGGTGGAGGGGTGGGTTATGTCTGCGCGCATGGTTGTTACGCCTTCGAGGGGGGACATGGGTTGCAGGTCGATGGCTACGATGCGGACGCCTTCCCGCGGTGTGAGTTTTGGTGTTTCCTCTAACTTCTTTTCGCCTTCTCCTTCTACACCCTCCTCTTGCTTTCCGTCTTCCTCTTCCTTTTCTTTCTTCTCCCCACCACCGCCCAAAACATAATCTCGCATATGCTTCTGCTTATCCTGCCATCCCGCTCTCCCAAACTTCTCGCCCTTTATCAGCACGCGCGAGAGAACCTGACTCCAACTTCCTGGTGCGGCGCAGAGGTCTACGACGCGCGTTACGCCTTCGAAGAGGTTGAATTCTTCGTCTAGTTGCAGCAGTTTGTAGGCGGAGCGGGCGCGCCAGCCTTCTTCTTTGGCGAGGCGGTAGTAGGCGTCTCGTTTGTCTTTTGAAGATTTGCCCATTTTGGGTGGATGTTGTTGATGCCGACAAAGGTCGAACTTCTGGTTCTTAGATGTAGGTTTGGTAGGGTGTGTAGTTCTTGCACTGCGGGTAGGGCGATGGGAGGGTGAGAGGCTTCTATCTGGATATGCCAACCACGTCTGAAGCGATTTTTCTGGTCAACGTGTCCCTGCTCTTCCTATATCTTATGCGTATCTCTCATCGTTGCCGATCTAGAAAACGTCAATTAACGAGTGCGAGTCATTCGCACGTGAAGTGTGGGAAAGCGCAAGTGGGCTAGAACAAAAGTGGGGCGAGCGGACTCCCGAAGGCCGACAAGTTTTCCAAAAAGTTCACGGCGCGCGCATCCAACCCACGACAAACCTCAATCGCACCACAGCCCACCATGAAGCGCCCTAATCCCGCCCCGAAACAAGCGTCGCATAAGGGTCACAAACCCAAACGTCAAAAACTCGACGACTTCCCTAAACCTCTTCCCCCGTCCACGAGACCCAAGCGCCGTGTCCAACTCAACGAGCTGGGATGGAAGACTGTGGAGATGCCCGATCGGTTGGAAGATACTGAGGGCTTCTATGGACTTGAAGAGATCGAAGATGTTGAGATTGTGAAGGATCCTGTTACTGGCAATCTTACCTTTGAGACTACAAAGACGGAAGATGAGGTGGCACAGGATGTCGAGGAAGCGTGGCAACGGGAGGAGGACGAGCAAAAGCGCTTGGAGCAGATTACGTTTGACGAGGAGAAGGTGGTAGGACAAGACGAGAGCGTTGGAAAGAAACTGCAGGAAGCAGATGAGGAAGTCGCGTGGGAGGGCTTCAGCGATGAGGAAGATGCGCCGACGGGAATCCTAAAGCAGACGAAGGGTGCAGACGCTAAGGATACAGCTGATGCAAGTGCTACCAATGGCGAGCCGGAGGCCAAGAAATTGACAAAGACTGAGAAGAAGAAAAGGGCGAAGGAAGCAAAGCTTAAGAGGGAGGCAGAGGAAAAGGCCAAGGCAGAGCTGCCGACGCCAGATGAGGTCGAAGAGGAGGAGGATGCCGAGGACGACGAACCCTCCGATATCGAAGACCGCGAAGACGGCGAGACCTTCGGACCTGGCGCTTGGGATATATTGGCGAACCATGCCGATGACGACGATGACGAGACAGATGTGCGCGCATGGGCTAAACTGGATCTCTCCGAAGAGATGCTGGGTGCATTGGCGAAGCTCAAGTTCTCAAAACCTACCAGTATTCAAGCGTCTACTATACCCGAGATCATGTCTGGGCGGGATGTTATCGGCAAGGCTTCGACAGGTTCAGGAAAGACACTCGCTTTCGGCATCCCAATCGTCGAGACGTACCTTGCCGCTCGCTCGACGCCCAAAGACCCCGAGGACAAGGCGCCCATCGCGTTGATCATTGCGCCAACACGTGAACTTGCGCATCAGATTAATGATCATTTGATCGCCCTTTGCGCGAAGGGCGATTTCGACTCCCCGTACATTGCATCCATCACAGGTGGTCTGTCCGTACAAAAGCAACGTAGGCAGCTAGAAAAGGCCGACATTGTTGTTGGAACACCAGGACGACTGTGGGAGGTCATGAGCAGTGGGTCGGGAGTACTACCGAAGTTCAAGCAGATCAAGTTCTTGGTCGTAGACGAGGCTGATCGTTTGTTGAGCCAAGGACACTTCAAGGAAATGGGAGAGATTCTCAAAGTCTTAGAGCCCGATGATGAGCCTAACGAGAAAGACGATATCGAGGAAGCGCCGGAATCTCAACGGCAAACTCTTGTGTTCTCTGCCACTTTCGGAAAGGAACTGCAGCACAAGCTCGCTGGGAAGCAGAAGTATGGTGGTGGGGATCTGATGAACCAACAACAATCGATGGAGTATCTACTCAAGAAACTTCAATTCCGCGAAGAGAAGCCAATGTTCATCGACGCCAACCCGACTTCGCAGATGGCCAGCAGGCTACAGGAAGGACTCATTGAGTGTGCCGGACCTGAAAAGGATCTCTATCTTTACTCACTACTGATGTTCTATACCAAGAAGCGCGCCCTAGTCTTCACCAACTCCATCTCGGCAGTACGTCGCATCACGCCATTCCTGACGAATCTGGCTCTCCCCGCTCTACCCCTACACTCCAACATGCCCCAAAAAGCCCGCTTACGCTCCATCGAACGTTTCAAGGAGCGACCAGGATCAATCCTCGTAGCCACAGACGTCGCTGCCAGAGGTCTCGACATACCCAAGATAGACCTAGTCATCCACTACCATCTCCCCCGCGCGGCAGACACCTACGTCCACCGCTCCGGCCGTACCGCCCGAGCCGACGCATCCGGAGCCAGCATCCTCATCTGCGCCCCCGAAGAAGTCGGCGGCGTACGACGCCTCGTCGCCAAAGTGCACGCCCGCGCCAGCGACGCCCCCAAATCAAAGAAAACCGCCTTCTTCATCCGCACCCTAGACATCGACCGCCGTATCGTATCCCGCCTAAAGCCCCGCGCCACCATCTCCAAACGCCTCGCCGACACTGTCATCGCGAAGGAAAAGAAACACAGCGAAGACGACGTGCTACGCCGCGCGGCCGAAGACCTAGGCGTAGACTACGACAGCGAGGAGTTTGAGAAGGAAGCACCGGGCAAGCGCGGCCGTGGTAGTGGGCGCAAGAAGAAGGAGAAGGAGGCGAGTGAGATGACGAAGGGTGAGATGCAGGCTCTTAGAGCGGAACTTAAACATTTGCTTAGTCAGAGGATTAATACGGGGGTTAGTGCGAGGTATCTTACCAGTGGGGGTATTGATGTTGATGCTCTTATGGCGGGAGAGGGGAATATGGAATTCTTGGGTAATTTGGATGGGCTGGGGTTTGATAAGGTTGTTGAATAGTTGTCTCGCGAGAGGATGATCAATTGTACGCAAGTTTTGGCGACCGGTTTCACGAACCTTCTAGGCTTTGTTTGGCTTCCAAAATAATAGACTGTGGGGTTGCGAGGCGCAAACCAGAGAGCGCTTTGTGCGTTACTTCCGCACAAACACTGCGTTGGTATATTGTCTCCGTCGTTCCGCGACTGTTCGTAGCTCATTATACAGAACGGTCTAATTGGGTAGTCTTCTTGCTGTCTTCTTGATGTCTTCAACTGCAACTATGGACACAGATAATCAGACCCAGCCAAACGCTGACGACAGAGTGACAAGAGACGAGTCCTCCGCCACGGATACCGACGTCCCAACCACCACGGAAGTGCCTCCAAAGTCCCAGTCCGCTGGCCACATTACGCTTGAGTATCTCCAAAGCATTTTTGTGCAGTTCACAATGTGGGCACCCGTCATCTACATCTTACTCCACTTCCGCGCCAATCTCTTCACCAGCGATGTCCTCACCAACGCTCTGGCTTCTGAATCCCTACTACTAACTACGATCATCACTGTCCGCACCATCACAACCGAGTACATGCGAAGAACCATCGACGCACAGACGAAGACTCTCAAACAGAATGCGGATACGGTAAAGCAATTACAAGACGAGAAGAAGACGTTATCGGAAGAGCTTTCTGCTTATCTCCAAGAAAGAAATGAAGAAAATAGCAGGCATCGACAACGCATCAACGAAGCCCGTCTCAGGCACTACACATCCCTCCACAAGCACCAAAGCAGCACAATCAATTACCTAGAACATCTATCCAGAACCCACACCAAGGTCTCCGAGTCTTCCGCGCTAAATATCCCGTTCGATAAGCTCTACATGATGCGATCAAGAACACAAATGCGACTGAACATAGCTGAGAGCATCGAGAAAATTCTGTACTCGAAAACATCACGCGCGTTGAGAGATGAGGGAGTGGATGGCTCCATCCGCGAGGCGGAAGGTGATCTGGAGAAGGCGGCGGTGGTGGATGGGTATCTAATGCATTTGGAAGATCTGGTGAAGAATCCTGCTGCTACTGCTAGGGTCGATTCTGGGTTGGAAGTGAGGTTGACTGGTTATAGGGAGAGGCTGGAGAGGTATTGTGAAGGGGATTGGAGGGTCAGGAATCATTTGAGGAAGGTGGATAGGGATGAGGAGCAACAATAGGTAGAGGGGGAGGAGCAGAGTAGACGTGGTGCACGCGTAGGTAGAGGAGCCTCGGGATGTCATATGTGTGAGAGTGTGTTGTACGCTTTACTCGTCATAACAACTGTTTCTCTTGAAGTCGCGCATCCAGTAGCGGATATTTTCCTACAAGCGCTTGACAGTTGACACCCAGTCGCTGTTTCCCAAGATCTGATGCTGTTTTCTTTTTCGCAAGTGCAAACTACGAGGGGTCATACAACGTGGTTGCCTGATTGATGGGTAGGATGTCAACAACAAATAGCAAATGACGTAGTATAATCCGTCCCACCCCATCGCTTATATGAAGAGGGTTTCATCGTAGCTAGTGACCTTTCGAATTATACTACCACATCACGAGTCATCCCAAGGAAAGATAGCGATGGCAACGAGCGCAGCGTCTACACCTGCCCTATCTTCAAACCCAAAGACGCTTGCCATGGACCCCAACATCAACAAGGACACGCTCATCTCGGAAGCGGAAGCTGAAGAGACGCTTCACGAAATCGATAATACGATGATGGACGAGCTCGACCAGGTCCTACGCACCCTTGCTAACACATCGCCGCGTCGCCGACGCTACTTCTCGCCAGGCGCGTTGTTACTTCTTGTTCTCTACACACTGAGCCACGTGGTGTTCATCCAGCCCGTATCTTCGCTCCTAGGTCGCCAATACCTCATTCCCATCATCTTCATGGTATTCACAGAAGTCACCTCCGAGGCCTATCTGGAACAGATAGTAGGATCGTACGAGAAGATCGTTGACCGAATGAGAGACTTGGCCCGCCTTTCACTCGACATGGCACATACCTGTGACAAAAGGGTGCAAGAGGCCGAGGAAGCGTTTGATCAGACGGCGACGTACAGGACGACCTATTTCCGCACCTTCCACCAAAAATCAAATGAGATGCGTCTAGAATACTATCAAGCATACCTGGATCACTACGGAACCCTCATCGGTAACGCCGAACTCATTACCAAGAAGGTGAAGACCATGGTTGCGCCGCCTAAAGTTAAGGGCGCGAAGAAGAACTGCGGCAACCGCATCAAGAACGATAACAACGCTCTTACGGAGTCTCTGGAGAACTTTGCTGCAGCGCTCAAACAGCGGCAGTCCACGGCGAGGCTACAGATCGCAGTAGCGGAGAAGATCAAGGACATCCTCGATCGCGAGGGCTTGTTACCGGAGGAGATCGATCGAGCACTGGATGAGGCGGAAGCAGATCTTGAGCGTGCGCAGGAAGCTTCGAACACTCAGACTCAATCACCGAGTTCTTGTACCTCCAGCTCTATCGCATTGCCATCACCGGTCGTTGAGAGCGTTGATAGCAAGCTGGAGAAGCATTTCGAGGACTTGGATAAGTGGTTCCAGAGTGTGCGGGATCAGCCTGTTGTCGCAGATGAGAACTGAAGAGGTGGGTGTCGTGGATAGATCGTGGCTACAGTGGGATCGGTCGAGCTGCAGGGGAAGTGGATGGGGATGATGAACTAGAGGCTACGTGCACTGATCCTGAGTATGTGTCCCCCTGCGGCCTATCCTAAGTGCAATCTTAGTGCGGAAAACGTGGCATGTGTCCCTTCTTATCTTTCCCTGTGGCTGTGTGACAGAAATTCGCGATTGATGCTGTGTGTTGTATTCGTGACAGGCCAAGGCCATGTCCCGAAACGACGCGCTGGTAGGTGCATTTAACGTCTTAATAATCGATGACGTAATCACAAGGGCGCTCACCTGGGTGCGCGCGCCCAGCTCTCGGAATCAAAGCAATACCATCCTTTTCACCAGATCTCTCCCGGGTACCTAATCCATCTTTTGTAGCGACAATGTTACCTTCGAGGACATGATAATGCGAATGCAAGGGAAGCAGAAATAACGTTATCTCGATCTCACGCCGCCAAATTCGCGGCTGCGACGCGTCACGGTGGATCATTAGAAGCTGCTGAAAAGCTAACATTCGATCAGGCGATCCAGTTTTGCCTTCTGCATGACAACAATAACATCTGGCGCCATGCCGTAGTGCAGACGATGATCTAGACTGCATCTCGACCGCCACCTTCTCAGCTGCGCTCAGCCTTGCGGGACCAAGCGCCACGAGAAACAACTCACTCGTGCGCACACCTCATACATGAAAAAAACTAAACAGGTCTGCAGACTACATTAGGTTAAAAGCTTGCAAAGTAGCTAACATAACAGCAACGTAGGCTCTAGGGTGTACAGTTTTTTATTAGGTTGTCGTGCGCAGCCCAATAACTGTCTTGATCTATCTACCCTTCATATTCAGCGAAACTCATGTTCCTAGCCTTTTGCAACGCCTGGCGTTGCCGATAGGTGGTATTCAGATGTTATGTCTTCGGTGGTATGGGTCGCAAGTCATTGACCCGCCACAGCCTTGTTCAGCCTTGTGTGCTGACTGCACGAAGTCGGGTTATCAGCCCCTGTGATTCGTCGGGATCCTACCTATCAACATGCAACGGCTTATACTTGTATTTATCCATTGTAAGCTAAAGGCTTCCATCTTCAGCCTGATGCACGCTTACCTCGCGTACTTAACACGTTCTTCCCGCGCTTTGATCGACGCTTTCCCCGCTGATATACATTATCGCATCGTCCAGTGATACTGCGATGGCGGCAGTAGATCATCTTCCATGGCGGTATGAGCACTGGAAACGACACCCAGAAAGGTTGGTACCGCAGGACGAATATGTCATCGTCTCGATATGTGAAGCCAGCGTAAGTGTTTATACAGGAGACTTGTGTTCATTGGTCTAAGGCTATACAGGAGGGGATCAAATTCAATCAAAAGTTAGTGAGCGACATGGATATACCAGCGCTGTGCGCGGAAACGGCCAAATCAACCACGGATACAAAGTGGTCTTTTGAACTGTTAGCATGATGAGTCTTATTGTTCTAGAATCTACTAACATACTATAAGCCTTCTAACTGCCTCTCCGGAAAATCAAACTGGACACAGTTTAATTCCATATTCAATTGAAAGTGTTCGGGCTCTAAACTCACGCTGGCATATCCCATACAGCTACATTCCCTCATATCGCTCATACTCCGAGGTATCGATGGCATTCTCCCCTCTACTTCATGACTCCAATTGGAAAGGTAAGTTTGATTTGGACTGCGCGACGCCATCCAACTACATAGACTGGTACTCACATAATTCCGCAGGGTTTCTCCAAACCTTCGGGGACCATATCACGACTACTTACAATGTCGCAACACGTCAAACTTTTGCATTATGTCTCACATCAGACAACAATCCCGACCGCATCGTAACACGTTTACAGCGCGCCCAGAGCTTTGCGTCCAATCCATTCCTGTTGACAGTAGTTTCACTCTCCATGGGTCAACAATACAAAGAACTCAAGGGATTCGAAGCCGATCAGGATTGCAGGTACATGGAGCTAACGATGGGTTACGACTATGGAACCAACTTTATGCACTTGGACCAAGTGCGAGACTCTTCGCAGACAACCCAGCGTCTGAAGAGTCTCCTGACTCGGATTGCCGACATCGAGAGCGAATGCGCCTCACTACTGGTCGCATTGGACCGTTTGGGGAGCCAGCTCGAGGTATTGCCTGATGAATATTGCCCTATGATCTGTACCGAGCTACGAGAGCAGGTAATGTACTATCAAGGAAGTGTAGCGGATATCAGCTTCGCCGCCAGGAGAGGTAAAGACATCGTCCAAGCCATGGTACAGACGGTAGGCGTCCCTTTGAAGGGTTTGAGAAAATTTCCCATACACTGAATCTTACAATCATAGGTATACGCGAACCTCCAGCAGCATGGTATGATAATGAAACGCACTGCAAGTAAGCCGCATACTGACTTCGTATTTCCACTTTTGCAGACAATCAACTGAACCACCGATACGGCGCCGACATGCGACTCATCACAGCGATCACTCTCATTTTCTTGCCTGGAACCTTTGTCGCAACCTTCTTCAGTACTACATTCTGGGACTTTTCTCCCGACAATGACGGCGCGAAGGTGACATACTGGGTTTATCTGTACTTCGTGATTACGATAGGTCTGACGCTGCTGGTGCTCATTGTGTGGAGGAGATTCAGTGCGCTTAAGCGAGTGATACTGAAGATGGTACACCTAAGCTACCGGATCCCTTGGTTGGGAGGGTTCATACGAAAGAAGAAGGTGGATGATGAAGAGTCGGGAAAGAAAGGTGACTAAGGCATAAGCTGGAAAAGCATGTATTCAATGATATATGAACATGTTGTTCTGGTAGGGTGGATGACGCAAACGTGAACCGTGGTACAGTCTTGTCGCTAGTCTAGTGTTGTTTGCTCGAGCAAAAGTCATCTCGCTCAAGGCCTCACTGCACTCCACACACAACGAAAAGAACTAACGAGAATCTACCGCCATCAGCGCAACACAATGGTTTCCGTATTCCCAGGGAAGGTCAAGTTGGATTTGTTGCTACATACTGCCGTGGACCACGTAAAAGCGCAGGGTGTTGGTATCGGCATCTTACAGCAGGCTAGATGCGCAAAAACTGGCGCCTTGATGCCAGGACTACTGCCTACCGAAGAGCGTAGATACGGCATTACACGCGCAAAATTTCCGACCGAAAACGTCAAGACACGCGAAAGAGCTGAGCTACTTGCTATATTACACGCTCTCGGTCTGGCTTCCAGCACGATCAAGAAACGATGTCCGCCAGATGTCAAACTGCGGACTATACAGATCTTTTGCGAACATCCGTCGGTTATATATACTGTCAAGCATCACCTTCCGTATTCCCCAGCGAGCCTCGAAGACGAAGTGAGTGGAAACGACCGCGCCATGATCAAGAGAGTTGTCCAAGCCATTCAAAAACTCGAGAGAAGATCTTTTAAGGTCTTCTTAACAATCGCAAACATGGAAGACGACGCGCAAAAGAAGGTAGGCTTGGCAGCAAGACAACGAGGCAGGTTCGCGTGTCAACAACGGCGTCGATTGCAGCACGCGCGGGAAAGAGCATCAGCAGTAGTGCGTCGCACCTTGGAGAACGAAACCTCTACAGAAGCGCTCGTAAAGGGGATTCAGCAGCTCAAATTAGCCCATTAGATACGTTATCACCAGACATCGTCGTCCGTAGCGCCTCGTGTGCGGTTTCTCCTCCAACAACGCCTCATCTTGGTCCATCGTTCTCATCTCCTCACTTAATACCTCCCTTTTGTGTCGCCACTCTCGGCACACTCTTCGATCACACAACTTCCACAAAACGTTCGTAAATGGAGCGAGTTGCCACAGAGAAAGAGGCGGGTTACAGCGCCACAGAGAAAGAGGCGGGTTACAGCGCCACGGAGGTGCAACATGATGTATACAACATATGAGGCAATGAATAGGAAGGTCGAAAAGCAGAGCCGTATCTCGCTGTTGACGGCCGACGGGATCGGGGATCTGGCAAACGGTGTTTGAAGGTCTCGAGCTGATGAGATTATTCGTGTTGTCAATGTCGTTTGTTGATCAATCTGAGATCAAGTGATATCGATGAAGGTTGTTCAAATGAAGGGCCCCTTTTGTGTACGTCCGTTTCACGGCGCTACTTCGCCGTAGGCGATGGAGAAGCAAACCCTGGGGCCCAAGAGTCTGATTCATAAGACTCCGATGGGTGCACAGGTATCAGGGTGCACTTCATGACTCAATCTTGCTGACGATAGCAAGAAGTGCCAGCAAAGCTGTCGTGGATCAGCGAGAGACTGACATGTGCAGCGACGTTATTGACTCACAAGTACCAACGGTAAGTATGAAAGCAGCGACTGTGAACGCCGTTTGTACGTCACCATCTCTCACCGTCCATACAACACCCACTATGGTTGCCACTATCCAGGGTAACGATCCGATCAATCCAATGCGGAAGCCGCTCCAACCCTCAACAAATTCTAGGGCATGGCGGCGGTCAGCTTGGCGAAGTCGGAATACCCAGTCAATCCACTCCGATTCTGTCTTGATATGCTCCGGGTGCTGATACGCATAGAAGATCTCCTGTAGAGTAAAATCGTCCAGTGGCACAACTTCTGGGCGAGTCATGGGTGTGAAGGATAAGAGTCGGATCTGCCTAAGCGTCTTGAGTGACAGGTATCGTCGCCAGAAACCACAAATATGCTGTTCATATTCCCGATGAAGTGCCTGGAAAAAGTCTTGGTCGGTTTGTATCATAGCTGGGTACTCTTCCGAAGACTTCCTGGCCACCTGGATTTGACGTCGTATACAGCCCTGGCTACCAGGCCTGTAGCACATGAGATTCAGTGAGCACGTTGGTTTGCTCCAATCGTCAATCGTTGGTGAGGTTGCTGTTTGGGTCGGGGGAAGAGCCGTGGACTGATCAATTGCAGTTGATGCCGGTGGAGATATGTGTGGGTGACGATTGATGGGTGGCAATGTCGCTGAGATGGCAGGT